TTTCAAGACAAGGAGTTGCGCCACTTGTTGGCCTGCGGCACCGACCGCTCGGGCATCGGCCGCCCTGCTCCCCATCGGGAGTCTTCCGCCGCGTCATCGTCGGTAGTCCTGAACAACAAAAAAGAACTCCACCGGAAGAACCCCCTCTTCTTCTTCCCGGAAGAAGCGAGCTTATCTATTTGAGCTTGCAAGCCCTGGCAGTGCACTCGGAGCCTAGCAACGTCATCCCTCAGGCCACAAATCTCCTGCTGGTGGGCCAAGACCTCCCTCTTCGACGGGCACCGAGCTGCCGCCGCCTCCGGGTTGGGGCTCCTGGGTCCACCGAAAGACCCGCTCCAGTGCTCCGTCAACCGATGCAGCTTGGTGTGCTCGGAGAAGAGGACTTGAATCGCCGATCGGACGGGGAGGCGCTCGTTCTGTGCTGCATGGAGGGAGGCCTCCGCCGATAGTTTGCGAGCGTCGATGAGCCTGCACAGCGTCTTCCTCTCTTGCTTGCTGGTGCTTGGATGGGCCTGGATATATACAGCGACCATTGGTCAGGTGTTGCCGGTGTTTCACTCGCAGTCGCAGACCACCCGAAAACGTTTCCTCACATATTTTTTAGCCCAAAAAATGACGCTAAGATTGAAACTTTTCTACACACTTGACTTGATTTGGGATTAAAATGTCGTGAAGAAAAATGATGCAGCAATAAGAAAAGAAAAGGGAAAGTCAATGCATATATATATCTCGAATGTGATAAGCGAGCTATAAACATCAACGGAATCAGAGTAACGATGAAGCATGTCAGTGAAAAGAAGTAAAGGCATAATTATGATCTTTGGTCACAGCAACTAATCAAGCACAAGATGTTTTCATGATCTTTCCGTTCTGTATCATTTATACTCCCGTCCATTCCTCCTAAGAAACCTAGAAGCTACTGAAAGGAAATATGACTAATGGAACCCAGTGGAAAGCCATGGGAACTCCAAAGCAAGCTCCTTGTTCCCCCGTGACCTTCTACCCCGATATGCTCACGAGTCGTATCACAGTAAAGATCCGGTGGCGATCTTAAAGGAAGGTGGGTTCATGCATCTTATCGCAACGGGCAGGAAGGTGGAGACACCGATTCCCGAGGCCGTCGCACAGTTAAATGGTATGGAAACAGAAGGACCACAGGGGTATCGCTTCGAGGCGTGCAAACGACAGCAAGCAGAGGCGATGCCCGACCGAGCTTGTCATCTTCATGGTACGTAATCTCCATGTAAAGTAAATAGATGACGATGGCCCATTCCTGAAGTGCCTTTTGTGCTATTTAGGCATATATCAGGAGTCAGTTGAGAGCTTAGACAGGACAACGTACAGAGAGGGGCACAAAGCGGGGACCGAGTACATTGGCAAACACGACAACCTCTTGTGGAGGCCGGTGGCCTTCATGAAACCAGCTTGAAGTCAAGTGATCAGCTTGAAGATGAAATCCCTGCTGGCTTCGCTTGTCCCAGTTCAGCACAGGCTGGTGGCTGGGAATGTAAAGAAAAGGATGGTTGACACTAGGAAGGCCTCGGATGCCCCTTGCTGCTGCAAACCCAACGTTGTTTGCATGCCTGCCTCTCCGTCGTCATTTTCCGGCGAAGTTAATTGTTACCACTACATTCATTCTTCTGGACCTCTCTCTATCCACATACATCTCTGCCCTAGTAGCTCAACCTCCTCCCTCTCCCCTCGCTAGATATAAAGTTGTCATCGAGCATCCAGACGATAGCATGCAAGAAGGCACAAGACAAGAACCTCTCTCTCTCTCTCTCTCTAAATCCTGGCAGGTCCAACACGTCCCCTCATATCTGAAACAGACAGGCGATTTGCACAGGCAAGCAGCGCCAATTGAACACTGTGCAATGCTGAAAGACATCACATGCACTGGTGGGCTGCTGTGGCCAAAAGCTAAAGAGCAGAAAGCTCATTGCATGCGTGAGCGCTGAGGCAAGCTATCGACAGGGATGACACCATATGCATGCCAGGGAACGATTAGTTTCGGACTAGTAAATGAGTCTAAAACAGCACATAGTGACTCCGCCCTATCTTTTCTGGGTCGAACTCTTGATTCTTGACTCCACATGAACCCCCAGAATGATAAGATGCTAAGAGTTATAAGAGCCACCTCTCTCTCTCTCTCTCTCTCTCTCTCTCTCTCTCATACGTACATTCACACGGAGAGATGTACGAAGCGGCTGTTGCTGACAATTAATTGGTGTTGGGTTTTCACTATATATGTGTATACATATTCTAATTTGACTGACATCAACAGGTACAAGAAGCTCCAATAATCTTGGAGGAGCACACATATTTAGATGAAGGGCATTTTTTACCATTAGGATGGTGAGATCAAGAAAAAAAATGGAAGAAAAGAATCGCCTACTTTGGTTGGAGGAGTTACTTAGGTCTAAATCCAGCTTATCATCATGAACAAAAAGTGAAGTTGCAGGAGAGCCACTTACTTTAATAAATGTGTCGACGGCGCGATAGAGGCCATCGTCCATGGCTCGCGCGTGTGCTGGCAACGAGTTTGCGAGTTCCTCAAACTCGGCCACGGTGAGCCCGGCGTCGAGCGCCGCCTCCGCCAGGTATGAGTCCACCAGCTTCGCCACCCTCGCGAGAGCTGCGCCGCTCCTCACCGCCGCACCGCCGTCATCATTATTCCCAGCGAACCTTCGAACCAGCCTCAGCACCAGGCCAACGTCCAGAAGCGTACCACAAGTGTGGCTGAAAGCAGGTATCATCAGCTCCTCGAGCGATGCCTCGTCCAGCTGCGCGGCTGCACGGGCCTCGAGCTCCCGCACACACGACGCTGCCGCGCCAACCATGCTCGCCGTGCGTAGCAGCGTAAGCAAAACGTCGCAGGAGACAGAGCGCTTCTCGGTTGGGAGGATGGAAGCCAGGGTCTCGATGAAGAAGCGTTTCTTGAGCCAGGCGGCCGTGGGACTCTCGGGCGAAGGATCGTCGGCAGCGCGGCCGGAAAGCTCCGGAAGCCAGCGGGAGGAATAGTGTGAGAGAATAAAGCTGAGAAGTTCCGGGCGGTCGCCCTTGGCTTCGATGCCGGTGAGGGTCTTGGAGAAGTGGTCCAGCTCTTGGATGCAGGGGTCGTCGAGCCATCTTGGGTGGCCCGCGGTGGGATGGTGGTGGTGGTGATCCTCGTGAACAGGCAGCGGCGGCGGCGGTGTTGGCCCGCTGCTGCGGTTCGGAGAGGGACACGGCGGAGAGGCGGAAATCATCGTTACCGGTTGGATTTGGAGGAGGATGATGGTGGTGGGTGGTGGTACACTACTTGTTTGATTTGAGGTGGAGGCCGACGATGGGATGGGACGGGATGGGATGTTTTCAGGGGACACTTTTGGAATCAGGATTCACGAGAGGTACGATATATAGCGTAGAAAGTGGAAATGAGTGCGACCTTCGATGCGTAGCTTGCCCCAAGTGATATCCTCGTTCAGTAATGGGTAAAAAAAGGATTTTTTATCGAAAAAGACCATATGATTCAGCACTGGTCGTTTCATGTTACAAAACTTTCGATTCAGGATATTGTTTTATTCATCGATGCACGTACTACAATTGTTTTCCACATCGAAACATTCAATATTTTTCTGACAAGTGCAGGTTGGAGTTTCTCCCGTCCGCACTGCTACCGAATCTAAAGGATGGCTTGCTCTGTTCAAAATATAAGGAGCATTCGCCCACTCGGCAACACCAATTCCATGATCGATATGATAATGCACAGCGTCCGTGAACAAATTAGATTATGAACCGCGAGAACGCATGGGTTACAGATTCTTCAAGGCTGTTGGGAATCGAAGATAAAGATGGAATAAAGAAGGATATATCCATGAACAGACGGAGATCAGAAAGGTTTGTATGCAGGCGAGACAGATGATAGAAGAAGACAAATAAGGACCACCAATATGCATAGTGTTCCCTTTTGTATTACCTATAGTCTATAAGATCAGCTGTCAATTAGTAATAGCCACCCTTCTCGTCTACCAAAAGCAAAGTCGAAACTTGTCGATGATGCGTCTTCTGTTATACTTGTTTTCTACCAGAAGGCAAAGAGCAGTGATTAATCTACCAAATAGCTCCAAGCAGGAACATCTTGTACCAATTTCCAGCTTAGTCTTCTACCCATCTGATCGGCGAAGAATTGCTAACGTTAAAATCCACCAACCGGAGCAAGTCCCCATCCCGATTCCCTGAGTAGGAGCTAAAGAACAGGTGTGCAGAGGCCACAACTCGAGTCCCCCACCGTCAAGTACCTGTGGAAGCCCAAGTGGAGGAGAGGGTGAAAAGATGGCGAGTGAAATAGTGGAAGATCATCACCTCGCCTCATCATGCAACACACAAGGGGGACGTCTGCCACTCGATGCACTCAACAGTAAATGCAAGAGCAGAGTTCGTGTCAGCTCAGAATCAGTGCAGTCTAAGTGGTTTTCTTTTAGATCAACAACACGACATCAACAATCCATGAGCCTCGGGAAAGCGGATAATTTGCAAGTACATTTCTATTTATATATCAGAACTATCGATTTTGGGAAAAGGCTAGTAGAGTAAGATTTACCGTGGTGTATATCTTGTACTCGTGGTGAAATAAGATATCTCATGTTGACAGAGAAAAGGTTCATGTGGCATGATCGGAGCCATATATGGTTAGATATTGAATATGTTGTACGAATTCCCATCTGCATCTGATTTTTTCGAACCAAAAAATAATTAGACGACGGCTGCGTTCTATGTGATATGGGAGTATGCTTGAAGGTGTTATGTAGACAATTAATATTAGCAAAGTGATGAAGTTATTTTGATTGGTTTGCCTATGGTATATTGTACCATTTTGTTTTCTCTCGTTCTAACTTTTCTTATCGCAGTCTTTTTCCCAGGCTTACATATCAGAGGGATGTCATCTGATGAGTTCGAGTTGTTGTCTCAACGAGTCGTGATAATGTATCTGAGTTATGCAACATTGTCCCTGTTTTGCAACGAAGAATCAATCAAGATGTCCTAAAGCTTGATGCATGACGAACTCTGTTTTCTTTCTTTTCCTTTTCTTTTTGGTTTTTCAGATCATTAGTCGGCTACGTGTGGAAGGCAGAGGATAAGCAATCACTGGTCACTATGCAGTCAGCTTGTTGATAATTAGATCAGTGCAGGAGGATGCCTCGGAGATGTCGAACACCACAAAACTTGACGTAGGGGCGTAAGGCAGGAGCATACGGAGAGGGTAGCCAGCTGCGAGCGAGCGAGCGGCAGCATCATCTTCTCCATCGCAAGCCACGAAAGCAGCTGTTACATACAGTTCCATTAGTTATCAATCCAGGGCGAGCAAGCAAATGGCCATGGATGGCCACCGGGAACGGCAGCCTCACTTTGTTTTGGTTCCACTGATGGCACAAGGCCACACGATCCCCATGGTCGATCTGGCGCTGCTCCTTGCTGAACGTGGTGTGCTGGTGAGCTTTATCACGACACCCTTCAACGCGTCACGCATCAAGGACACGGTTCGACGAGCTCAGGACTCCCGCCTTCCAATCCGATTCGTCGAGCTCCACTTCCCCTGCCAAGAAGCAGGCTTACCCGAGGGATGCGAGAACATTGATGTCTTGCCTGCACCGGAACTGTTGCTGAACTTCTTTGAAGCGACCCGTCTTCTTCAGCAGCCGCTCGAACAGTATCTCAGTGAACCGCAACAGCCCTACCCGAGTGTCATCATTTCTGATTTCTGTCACCCTTGGACGCGGAAGATTGCTCGTCGTCTTGGAGTTCCGCGTCTCACCTTCTTCAGTGTTTGCTGCTTCACCCTCCTATGCCATTTCAACATCTCGCACGACAAAGTCTATGATAGGATTGCAGACGACGACGAACCTTTTGTGGTGCCCGGCTTGACGGAGAAGATTGAGGTCACAAAGGCTCAAGCACCAGGATTCTTTCCCAGACCTTTCTTCGGGGAGATGTCAAATGATGTGGAAGATGCCGAGGTCACAGCAGACGGCATCGTGGTGAACAGCTTTGAAGGTTTAGAGAAATCATACATCGAGGGCTACCAAAAGGCCATGGGAAAGAAAGTATGGACGGTAGGGCCGCTGTTCCTCAACAACAGGAGCATGACTGATCTGGCTCTAAGGGGGGACAAGGCATCGATTGACGCCAGCCGATGCTTGAGTTGGTTGGACACTATGAAGCCCAGGTCTGTCCTGTATGTATGTTTCGGTAGCCTAGCGCGGTTAGAACCTTCCCAAGCAATGGAGATTGGGTTGGGGCTGGAGGCATCTAACCACCCATTTGTTTGGGCGATCAAGGCCAGCGAGGAATCTGAAGAGAGGGTGGAGGAATGGCTGTCGGGAGGATTCCAAGAGAGGGTCAGTTCCAGGGCGCTCATAGTCAAAGGGTGGGCGCCGCAGGCCATGATCCTGTCCCACCCGGCGATCGGTGGCTTCATGACGCACTGCGGCTGGAACTCGACGTTGGAGGGGGTAACGGCCGGCGTACCCATGGTAACGTGGCCTCACTTTGCGGACCAATTCCTCAACGAAAGGATGGTGGTTGATGTCTTGAAGGTTGGAGTGTCCGTTGGGGTCAAGCGACCATCCTTCCTAACATTTGATCAGCAGAGTCGATTGCCGGTGCGGAGGGATGACGTCGAGAGATGTGTGAGGAGTTTAATGGATGAAGGTAGGAATGGCGAGGAAAGGAGAAAGAGGGCCAAGGAGTTGGGGGAGAAGGCTGAGGCGGCCATGAAACAAGCTGGTTCATCTTATTCTAACATCACACACCTCATCGAATGTTTCTCATCCAGTGCTTAATTACGTGTGCGCCGAGTAGGCCATATTTTATATTTGCATATATACACATGTATACCCTAAGGGGTTCTCGTTAGATCATTATGTTTGACTAATTACATATTATCTATTTTAATTAGTTATCTTTAGTATTTTCATCCTTATATTTTTAAAAGTTATATTAATATTTTTATAATTATAAAAATAAAATATTTAATCTCATATTTCTTTACTTCATCGACTTTACTGATAAAATATAATACATGTGGTTATATATAAAAAATATTAAAATAAGATTAAAAGGATAATTTTATAGGTTAAAAATCAGGATAGAAAGAGGGTTTTATTAGGAAATGAAGTGATGTTCAATTGCTTAACCTTTTTTCTTTATCTTATGAGGTTTTATTGAGAAATGATACGAGCCACTAGGCAGAAATTGATCTTTTTCTCTCTCTTGTGATCTTATCTCCTTCTCATCCGTTGAAGCAAATGAAGGAAAACGTTTTCACAGAAGTTATAGAAGAAGAAATTAATATGGATAAGAATAGCACTATAAAATTATCTTTTTAACCCTATTTTAACATCACTTTTTTGCACGTGACAATACTTACTGTATTTCTATTAGTAAAGTAGACGATGTAAAGAGAAACATGATTAAATATTTTATTTTCATAAATATAGAGATCTCAATATAATTTTTAAAAATATAAAGATCGGAATACTAAAAATAATTATAGAAGATAATACATAGAATAGATTAAAAAAATATCTGATGATTGGAATCATCCTTTCCCTTAATTATTTCAGGTTCCACTATCATGTTATTGGAGAAAACTTTTCCATATCACTTTATGATTCTAGGTATATACTCTTTAAAAAAAATTAATGTTATGTATTTTTTAATAGAATTATAATATTTTTGACATCTCTCAAAGAACATTATAAGCCTACATAAAATATTATAACTGAGGCATATACACTTAAAATACACCACAAATATTATAACCACTTGTGGGGTTTCAAGTGGTTACTATTATTGATTTAAGAATAAAATATTTATAAAAAATTGTTGCTGCTTATATAAAATATTATAACTGAGGAACTGACTCAAAATACAAACTAAATTACGATATTCTTATTGGTTTGAAAATAAGAATATATTAACAGGTAAACAGCTGGTCTTGGCTCAGCTGACTGCACGTGCACGGCGACCGCCCGCACAGTCCTGCGCCCACCGAGCCTGTGTGTTTCAAATGAGAAATCATGTTAATATGATTCAGAAGTGAACGTATGCTATGTGGCGGTGAAGCAGCCGTCACAACATGGACGACTGATTCGACGGCAGTCCGCAACTTCGTTGTCACGTGTAAGAGCGGCAAAGCATGATGACGACGGTTGACGCTTCATTTTGCAGTTGCTGTGGAAGAGGACGAAGAACAGACACGAGACTGGATACAGTCCAACCTGCGCAATGCGCAAAAGTCTACGGAATCGACAAAAAGATGTCTGTAGAAAACGTATGGTGAGTTGCCAGTGGCTGATGTCTTCTCCCTTCCAATCCACCAAGCAAGCATCCGGAAAAACCTTATCACCTCAAGGAAGGGGAACCAAATCATCGATCATGGATGGTCACCGTGAAGGGATGCCTCATTTTGTTCTGGTTCCGCTGATGACACAAGGCCACATGATTCCCATGACTGATCTGGCGCTGCTCCTCGCTGACCGTGGTGTGCTCGTCAGCTTCATCACGACGCCTTGCAACGCAGCACGCATCAAGGACACCATTCACCGGGCTCGGGACTCCGGCCTTCCCATCCGGTTCGTTGAGCTCCCGTTCCCCGGCGCAGAAGAAGGCTTAGCGGAGGGATGGGAGAACATCGACGACTTGCCAAGGGCAGAGCTCTACATAAATTTCTACAGGGCGACTTATCTTCTTCAACAGCCGCTTGAACTGTATCTGCAGGGTCAGCAGCAGCCGTACCCGAGCGTGATCATTTCCGACTTTTGTCACCCTTGGACGCTGAAGGTCGCTCGTAATCTTCGAATTCCGCGCGTCACGTTCTTCAGTATGCCCTGCTTCACCCTCTTGTGCACCTTCAATATCTGGCGCTACAAGGTCTATGAGAGGATCGCCGACGAGCACCAGCCTTTCACGGTGCCAGGCTTGAGGGAGAAGATCGAGGTGACTCGGGCTCAAGCGTCAGAGTTCTTTCCCGGACCAATCTTCGAAAACATAGCAAAAGACGTGCGAGAAGCTGAGTTCGCAGCGGATGGCATAGTGGTGAACAGCTTTCAAGACTTAGAACATGCATACATCGAGGGATACCAGGAGGCCATGGGGAAGATAGTATGGACCACGGGGCCATTGTTCCTCCGCAGCAGGAGCATCGCTGACATGGCTATAAGGGGAAGAAAGGCATCAATCGACGTTGATCACTGCCTGAGTTGGCTGGGCACGATGAAGCCGAGGTCGGTTCTTTATGTGGGTTTTGGAAGCCTCACACGAACAGACCCTTCTCAACTGATGGACATTGGATTGGGGCTGGAGGCATCTGATCACCCGTTTATTTGGGTGATGAGGTACAGCGAAGAGTCTGCAGAGAAGATCGAGCCATGGCTGGCCGGAGGATTTGAAGAGAGGGTCGGTTCCAGGGCGCTCATAATCAAGGGGTGGGCACCGCAACTCATGATCCTATCCCACCCAGCGATAGGAGGATTCTTGACGCACTGCGGCTGGAACTCCACCTTGGAGGCCATCTCGGCAGGCATACCCATGATCACATGGCCACACTTCACCGACCAATTCCTGAACGAAAGAATGATCGTGGATGTGTTGAAGGTTGGAGTGCCTGTCGGGGTAAAAGAACCAAATTTCATAGGAATGCAGAGGAGTGAAACATTGGTCTCGAGGAACGATGTGGAGAGGTCTGTGAGGAGTCTAATGGATGAAGGGAAGGAAGGCGAAGAAAGGAGGCAGAGGGCCGAGCGATTGGGAGAGAAGGCTAACGCCGCCATGAAAGAAGGGCGGGGTTCATCTCATTCCAATGTCACACGCTTGATCGAGCACTTCTCGGCCAATGCAACTGTCTAAGTATGCAACACGCATGAAGGTCTATGGTCTTTGAATTGGCATCCTTTAATTAGGTGGTTTGACCTTAGTAGACGTGTTAATAGAGTTGTAAAACGGTTGCTTGGATGATTGCACATAACTTGTATTTACGGGATTAAAATGGTTATAAAAGTTAACCAAAATATAAGACTATAAAGTTTACTGTAAGTTCTCTATATGCTGTGGAAAGCATGAACAAAATAAAAAATCATTAACATACATAAATATTACATCAAACACTTTATGTATATATTTGTCTGTGACATTCACTCCACTTATTTCTTTGACATTCTCATCGAAGCTTTTGCTGAATCATCAATCTTCTGCTCCAATTCTAACATGTCTCTTAGCTCCCAATTGTTCTTTGTCGTTATGTTGAGTAGTCGAACTTAGCTCAACCAATGCTGCTTCAGCTCATCAATGACTCTAGTGACTTTAACATGAGGTAGGTCGATTGTGTTGATCTTTGTTCGTTTATACGGATCCCTCAAATGAAGAAAAATATTTTCCTTATTATGCGCCAATCTCTTAATCGTCTTGCGTCACTTAAACTAAGTGGATACTTGTCGGAGCTTTAACGAACATCACCTTGTAGACTTTAATTTTTTTTAGGTTTTTCCTCCATAAAATTTGTCCATCGATTTTTCTTCTACTTAGTTGTCGCCTCTAAGTATGTTTGCATTGTTTTTATTTTTTTATTACTATTCTATTGAAAAATAAAATGAATGATATACTCCTAATAGAATCAATCACCATTGGTGAAGATTTAACAATCATTATCTTTTATTGAGTCTCTTCAAAGGGTCTTTAAATATATGTAAGACTCATCTACTAGATAAATAAGAGGGTTGAGGTATTTGATTTCGTTTATTCTTTTAAAAGTTAAGAAAACAAATATTACTTTGACTTCACTTACCTTCTCGAAGGCTATACTTCATATATCAAGCTAGTTATTACTCTTCGCTTGTTCTTTACTTATATTTTTATTTTTTTTAAACACCTAAAATGTTTACACTCCTTTCCTTGCATTGAATAAACTATTATAATTTGCATCCTCATTGTCATCAAGCTTAGAAAATAAAAAAAAAAAAAAAAAATTTATTTCGACTTAGGATAAATCTTTAATAGTTTTGATCGCCCATGAGATTATACCATCTCAGATAGTTTTTGTTGCCTATGTCTCGATTATGGTTTTTAACTTTTTGAGGGGGAAAAAATCAGAAAAAGAATTAGTGTGGTCGATCGATATCCTGTCTAACCACAAACAGCTCCGACAAGGAGTATGTTGCTAACTGTATGGATGCCGGCTGCAACTATATTGCTTCATTAATTCACAAGTAATTCAACCACAGCATGCATGAATTTGCCGAACGTAGAGTGACGAGCATTATGTGCAGCCTAGCAGCTTTATATGGATGAGCCCACACACAGAAATCAGTCGGCAAATACATAACTTGCTGTTCGGACCCATAATACTGAAAATATATATTTGATCCAAGAATTTAGCTACATGTGCAAGCTTAATTACCTCATCAGATCAGATAAGCAGTCATCCTAGATTTCCAAAAGTAGTACATTGTAACTAGCCAAAAGACTCTGGCAAAGTGATTAGGATATGCTGGTCACAGGTGCCACAAAAATTTTAGTCATCCAAAAACAGAACTGAAAAATCTCTATAAATCATAAGCAAGGGTTTAGTCATAATCATCAGCATAATTACACCAAAACAACTAATGAACTTGCCAAAACCTTTATCATGATGCCATGATTGTCAATCTATAGCATATACCTGAAATGAAGCTTGAAGAAGTTGGAAAAAACTGACAGTTTGGCTTAATCCTTGGAGGATTTGTTAATAAGAGACTTGTGGATGTGAGGTATCACGCCTCCTCCGGCAATTGTTCCCTTGATGAGGGTATCCAGCTCTTCATCCCCCCTGATTGCGAGCTGCAAATGCCTCGGAGTAATGCGCTTCACTTTTAGATCCTTGCTAGCATTACCAGCCAGTTCTAACACCTCTGCAGTTAGATACTCTAAAATGGCGGCAAGGTAAACAGCAGCTGTCGCCCCCACTCTTCCGTGTGCTGCAACTCGAGACTTCAGCAAACGGTGTACACGTCCAACTGGAAACTGCAAATATATAGTTTACCAGAAGCTTGGTTATACGGGACACGAGACCTGAGTGCGATGTCCATAACAATCATCCTTGTTTGGATCATTTAATAGAAATAGGTCATTCCACCATAGTCAAACAAAAAATCAGGCATCTAACTACCACAATAAATATTTGTTTACACAAATCATTTAGTTTTGAAGTCAATCCACATTATTCTTCTAGATATCAGTACAACAATAATAAAATGTAAACTGATTCCACATAACTTACTTTTCTGTGAAGCCAATATTATGGGTTCATTGCTAATTTATGATGTCAAGGCTTGTCAGTTTATGACTTGGAATTAAGAACTTTGCGGTGGAACAGCTGTTATGTCACGATACATGAGTTATATTCAATATCATTTTGTCAAAAACACAGACTTTTGTGTTCGTCATTTCCAATTCATCGGAGAAAATTTATGTTACTTACATGTTTCTGATTCCGTCAGTTTTATTCTGTAGAACCAAAGAGGTTTCGAAATACACCTTTACATTCTTTTCTTGCAGCACGAAATTAGGATGCAACTACGACAGGATGAGGGATGTCTGGTGAATGCTAAACGTACACACACAGGTATGTTTACCACACTTCAATTTGCTCCTGCGTGGGATGGATTAATCGTTTTCACCTTTAAAAGGCCTTAACATTCATTGTTTTCGAGGATGGGGGCACAAGTGGGCAGCCTCGTCCTATACGAGTTATGTTACATTCTTCATCATAATGAGTAATTAATAAATAAAGACAATTTTGGTATTGAATATTTGGGCCTGATATCGAAAGGAGTACAATATTTTCAGATCAGAAGGTTTTCTTTGCAGGAAACTAAATCAAGAAGAAAACAGGCTTGTAGGAATTCTGAAGTAAGAGCTTGCATGAGAAGAGTGATTTTGTAAATCATGGAAAATCTTGGTGGAAGAAGAAATAAATACGTTGGCTAGACCAATAAATAGGGTATGAGCCAGATCCAAAAATAAACAAAGAAGCAACTTCTGGTCTCTACTAGAACAGCAGAGTTATTGTTAAGGTCTGAGGTCATCCAAAATCTTGCATCCGGTCCAACTTTTCTTTTGAGCAAAAAAACATCTGGTGCATACTAGCATGTTACTCTGTCGATTACAATCAAGGACTAGAGCAGTGTGCCAGGCAGATTAATAACTAGTGCTACAGCATGAACTCGCACCTGCATGCATGCAGTATTATCCAAAAGACAAAAAAGCAACTATTGTAACCCTGATCTTGTGACATAACGATAATGCAGTATTGATGTCTATTTCTCAGTAAAATGAGGCAGGGAAGGGAGGGAATCTTTCTGGAAAGACCAATGCATTATTTGGTATAATATTGGAAGTTATAATACTAAAAAGCGACAGAAACACCATCTGTCTTTTCATAAATAAATCGACTAAAATTTCTATATGAAAGCACAAGTTGAGACTCTGAACCAACAGCAAGATGTACCAAATTGTCATCTGTTTTGATGCTTTTGCTTTGATTCGTCACATGATCCTGCTGCCTGCTAAAACAGAATGACCATATGGATTTTGCGAAACAGGGATCATAATTTCTGACCTTTTGATACTAAACTGCTTATAAGTCCCTGTTGAAAACTCTGATTTGTGCAAAACTTACTTTGTTGGAAAATAGACTCACAGATCTTTCTTTTGATACCTGGATTGAAATATTTGGAATCCAAACACCTGCCCAGTTATCTATTGAAACCAATCCTAGGAATTCTACAAAATAGAGATTTTGTTCTTGGACCTTTGGTCACCAAATTATTTGTAACTCTTCGTTGGAAACTTTGATTCGTATGAAACTTGTATTATCTGAAAGTAGATTGAAATATCTTTCCAATGATACCTTTCTTGAGTGAATTGGAGCATAATTGATAGTTTAAATTATTTATTCAATGTGCCTCTCAAATTCTGTCAGAAATTAAGCTTTGGTCGATTTCGCATATTCCCGTTTTATTCCTTATGGAAATTGATTTCATCTAACATTATTTCTTCAAATGAGTTTTATATTATTGATTTGAATTCTGGTATTCTCTTGTCCTTAAACTATTTGTATTCTTGAAACCTATTATGTAAAGTTTATGTTGTATCGCATTATTTCATATGGACACATGTATGTTCCGTTGTTCTGTATGTTATGTGCCAAAGTCCTTGTATGCTCTTGTCTTTATTTCTTTTCAAATTTGAATGCATTTGCGACAATGTCTTAAATTATATAAAGGACAATGACAGAGCAGAGACATCCATGCCGTCTAATTTGCACAAAATAACCCTCCAAATCCTATTAATGTTGCATGACCCACGTATCGCTCTATACAGAAGGCGAAAGCAGCTCCGAGTTCCAAATCTAGGAGCCAAGAACACCTTTCTCAGACGACCATCGCTCTTTCACATAAAAAAAAAACCCATCTGCATAGAATTTTCCGAAATGTTCCTCGTAACACGTTGAGGAGATCACGGTGGGATCACACCCCAATTTTTTTCACCAGACCAGAGTCCAATTATCGAGATTACTTCCTCCTATCGATGGTGTTTAGGACAGTCGCAAAACATCGAACAAGATCCATAGGCAATCCAATAGCAACCAAACAAACAGCTGCTTTGGAATTCAAACAAGAAACGGGAACGGATGGGGAGCACACCTGGAGACCAGCACGATGAGAGCGGGAGATGGCCTTCTTCTTGTCCTTGTCCTTGTTCGAGTTGGGGACCGAAGTCCTAGCCGTGATGAGGCCCTTAGCGCCTTTTCCAGACATTTTGCCGGGCGAGAAATCGCTCGAAGGGGAGGTCGAGGAGGAGGATGGAGGAGATAGAGGGGAGTGGGGGTGGGTGTCTATGGTATATCACGGTGGAAGCGAAGCGAAGGAAGCGGCCGGCGAGAGAGAGAGAGAGAGAGAGAGAGAGAAGAGAGAGAGAGGA